GATAGTCGATCACATACTTGATCTAGATCTACGTGGATTTTCGCCTACCTACGCAGCTGTGCGCGATATGGCTGATAGACTGTTGGCTGCGCGCGGCGCTGGCCAGGTTGGGCAGAAGTGGCCCAGCCAACTTTGTCAAGCGTACAGACAGTCTTACGACGCGTTTCAATCGGGCATACGATAGGCAGAGAGCTCTATGTGAAGATCCAGTCTTAAATCAAGAGCTGGTTTGAGCTTGTGGAGCAGACAAAGGCTAAGTACGGCATCTGTGATGAGGACGTCTACAACTTTGACGAAGCTGGCTTTATGATGGGCAAGATCACGACTCAGCTAGTCGTAACAGCGTCAGAGAGGAGGGGCCGACCAAAGGCAGTTGAGCCAGGCAATCGTGGGTGGGTAACGCTGATCGCAGCGATCAACGCAGCTGGCTGGTCAGTTCCACCGTTCCTCATCTTCGCTGGCCAGTATCATCTATCCGCCTGGTACGAGGAAGCAGAGATCCCACGCGACTGGGCGATCGCAGTCAGCGACAACGGCTGGACGAATAACGAGCTAGGTGTTGCCTGGCTAAAGCACTTTGATGCCTACACAAAGACTCGCGTTGTTGGCACACGTCGCCTGCTTGTTCTTGACGGCCATGAGAGCCACCAGTCTCTAGAGTTTCAAGAGCTCTGTAAGGAGAACAATATCTACACGCTCTGTATGCCGCCTCACTCGTCTCACCTGCTTCAGCCTCTTGACGTTGGCTGCTTCTCGCCATTAAAGCGCGCGTATAGCCGTGAGGTGGAGAGCCTAATACGCAACCACATCAACCACATCACCAAGCTTGAGTTTCTGCCAGCGTTCAAGACAGCGTTTGATCGATCCTTCACGCCAGCCAATATCCGCTCAGCCTTTCAAGGCGCAGGCCTTGTTCCTCTCCAGCCAGACGCTGTTCTATCAAAGCTTGACATAAAGCTGCGCACGCCTACTACTCCAGTAGCTGCTCTTGCAGAGGCCGTCTGGCAGGCTCGTACCCCAAGCAACGTACGCGAGTTTGAAGCCCAATCAACGCTAATACGTGATCGGGTTCGACGGCATAAGAGCTCATCACCAGCGTCAATTATTGCGGCGATTGACCAGCTTAAAAAGGGAGCAGAGATAATAATGCTCTCAGCTGAGCTAATGCGAGATCGGATCGCCAGTCTTGAGAGGGCTAACGAGGCAGCAACAAAACGTAGGCAGCGTAAGAAGAAGCGGATACAGAAGCAAGGAGTGCTAACAAAGGGAGCTGGAGAGGATCTACTCGCTCAGCGCGAGGCTGATCAGCAGATTGCTCATGAAGAGCGTCAGGGAGGAGAGCGATCAGGTGTCAGCCGCCAGGCTTTAGCGCGCTGCAGCAGGTGTAGAGAGACTGGCCATAACTCGCGTACATGTAAAAAAGATACTTTAGATAGTACTTAATCTACTATCTTAATATATATAAAATTCATAAATTTGTGGTAGAGCTATATAGGAATAGAGGTGCGCGAAGTTGGTGGGGTGCGGCGCTCGCTTGTACGCGGCGCTCGCTTGTAAAACACGTTATATGTGTTTTTACTGTAAGACAAGCCTATACGCTGCATGCGAGAGGGTCCATAATTGTGCAGGGATAACTAGAGCGTGATCCGGAGTTCTGTTCGGAGTTCTGCCCGGAGTTCTTGACCCTTGACTAACTAGCATCCCTATCTTCCGACCCGCTTACCTCGGTCCCGAGGGACCAGACCAACTATCGACTCACATTATTTTTGGTTTTTCGTTATAGTCTTCAACGAGCGTTGTTTAGACTTGTACACATCGGGTATAGTGAGGGCTTACTGAATCTAATTAACTGTCTATGATAGCCAAAATCACACTCTCGATCAGTGAAATGGCTAATGACTAAGCGAATGCTACAACTTCTTGAGAGAACATCTCCTATGCTACACCATTAGAGGACTGTAACACTAAAACCATACTTGTATAATGAGGTATTTTCTCAAGTTCTTGAGCCATTTGTGGGGATATTCCCTAATATCAAGCTCGGAATTTTTGTCCCGAATATCCTAGCCATATTTGAGTGTACAGTCCGAGCTCTCGGGTTTCTTAAGACCCTTCTGACTGTGCATCTCAGGTTCAAAAGTCAGTCATTCCCCAAAGGCTTTCTAACACACTAGCCTTGCAACCTTGAGATTTACTTTCTTCATTCTTTACAAGCATACTGACCAGCTCAAAAGCCCCTATACCTTTTTAAGCCTGATTTCTACTTCGTCTCTATACCGTATACCCGGCAACTTCTCCAGCAACATGTGCTACTCAGTTCAAGATGAATCGTCAAGAATCCTGCACGAAGTTTTGCTTGCAGACCCTGCTCTCGGCCTGTCAACGCCCATTATCGAAGCTGCTAAGAAAGTTCATTTCACTGGTGGCAGCTCGAAGCAATTCGTGCCTACACCTGTAAAGCTCACGGAGTCTTCGGCCTCGCTGACCGCCTTAGTTGCTGCTGCCGCCAGTGCGGTTGCCGAGGCCAGGTATGGCATTGGCTATCAAGACATTGAAGTCAACACAGACGTCGCAACGCTGTTTCTCGAGGCTGTTCTACTCCCAACTATCAATGGTAGATCATTCATAGAATCGCGAGAGTTGATGGCAGAACTGTCGAAAATGGACTTGCACGATATGACAAGCCCGATTAGACGTTTCTCCACCACAATCTATCAAACGAAAGATGGTCGTTGGTTCCACTTGCATGGATCTATGAATTCAGATCGCACAATGGACATGATGGGTGTCAAAATGCAAGACGTTACCTCTCAAGAAGCAATTCAAATCTACAAAGAAAAGGTCCGACAATGGGACTCGCACGAAATAGAAAAAGTAGCAAACAATGAATATCGGCAGGCGGGAGTCCTGTGCTACACTCCAGATGAATTCTTCGAAAGCGAGCATGTAAGTCGGAACCTGCATAGAAAATGGCTCAGCTGACGTCTATTCAAGGGCAAGATTATGGGAAATGAACCCCTATGGACAGCGAAACCTGTACTGAGCCCTAGGAAACCTTGGCCTTCGTGCTCGGATTCTGGTAATCAATACAAACCGTTGCAAGGTATACGAGTCATCGACTACTCTCGCGTCATTGCAGGTCCAGCAATCTCAAAGATTCTTGCTGTGCTTGGCGCAGATGTCATAAGAGTCTCGTACAGCGAGATCCCTGAGTATGCAGTTACAATGGTTGATATGCAGACTGGAAAACGCGACGTCGATCTTAATCTAAAAACTCCTGAGGGTAAGGCCACATTTTCTGAATTACTCCAAGGCGCAGATGTTCTAGTGGATGGATATCGTCCAGGTGTGCTTGAACGAATAGGATTCACGCCGACTTCAATGCGAGAGACCAATCCTTCCCTTATATACCTGAGGGAGAACTGCTATGGATTTAAGGGTCCTTTGGCAAGCCGCTCGGGTTGGCAGCAGATCAGCGACTGTCTGGTCGGTCTCTCTCATCTACAAGGTCAACTCCTAGAAGTTGAATATCCTGTGGTTCCCTTATTTCGTAAGTATTTACTAGATATAAAGATAGGCCAAAGCCGCTAATCATCCCATAGCCAATTCGGACTACCAGACCGGCCTGGTTGGTGCCACCGCCGTCATTCAAGCTCTTATGAAGCGGACGACGGAAGATACAACTTTTGATATTGACATCAGCCTCACTCAGTACAATATCTGGCTCTACCGTCTTGTAGCATACTCCGAGTCACAGCAAAAGGACCTTCGAGCGCAGGATCCAGAATTCCATCCACACCATTGCGACGACATGCCCATGCTGACTCAGAAAACCCACATGACTTTGGTCAAGGTGTACCCACAGCTTGTCAAACCAGAGTATTTTTGGGAAATGGACGGAAGGGAATGGGGTATCAAGGACCCCATCAAGATTCTGGCACCAGCTTTTAAATTCTCCAAATCTAAGCTAGAGTACATGCACCCTTCAGGCCGTCGCGGGCGATCAAAGACTGCATGGTGAATAGGAACTCACTTCCAGTTGTCAAATTTTATGGGTCTTCAATTGTGGGGTAAAAGGTTCATTCGTTGTTGCTATCTCCTGAGGTGTCGCCTTTGTGGCTTTTTCCTTTTCCTCCTTGACCTTATGCATGAGCTTTAATCAAAGCCCTTGGAGACATTGTACGCAAATGCGAGGTGGGTGATTGAAGTTGATAGGGTGACCGGCTCGCTTGCCTGACCGACTTGCTTATCCGTCACGTTAAGGCTCTGCAGAATTCTAAGAGCCTTAAATACCTGTAGTTAAAATCATCTTGAAACTCGTACAACTTCTCGTACATGTCACAAGACGGCTTCCTTAGACTTTAATAGACATATCTGCCAATGCCTCACTCCGTCGCCGATCCCTGATCTACTGCCTCCTCAGTAAGGTTACAAAATAGCTAATCTTTTCTCTAATGTTCAGTCTGGAAGCACCCTGTTTAACAACAGGCCGGTAGCCAATGGTGTGCTGACGCGATAAAGCTTGTTGACCGATGAGTCAGGTATGGACTATATCATAGGGCACATATACGCGATACTACAATAAGAAAGAAAGCTGTAAGCAGTTAAGAGTGTAGAAAGGCTATTGTGTTGTCGTATGTATGATCGTAGGAGTAAGTTTATTATTATAATTATTATTATCAATTTAGTTTAACGTCCTGTGTCAGCCGGTGGGTTATATAAGACGTGTAGGCTAGGCCTACAAGTATCTACGTGGTGCTATCAGTTTAGTGTAGGTGGGGGAGGGGGCTTATCTAAATCGAGGTGAGACTCGTAGCCTAGTATAGAGAGAGGTAGTAGGGGGTCTTACGAGTGAAGGGAGGGGTAGTGTGGGGTTAGGGCGGGGGCACCTAGTATAGGTGTTGCCCTAGTTATCGAGGTTTCCTTTATACCAGGCCTGTGTTGCAGCCCTAGTCTCCTTAATAAAGGCAATTGTAGCCTGTATGCCTACTGCAGTGTCTAGTAAGAAAGCTAGCGACAAGGGGTCCTTAGTAGCTTCTTGCATCTTTGCCCTCGCTTCCTTATATAGCGTGCAGCTAAGGTGGATATGTGCTGGATCTTGCGTAGCTCTATAGTTGCAGGGATACACTTTAGAGTCTACTTTTCCTCTTCTAAATAGAAAGTCTCTTAGGTAACAGTGACCTAGCTTAAGCTGAAAGAAGGCGCTAGAGGTCTCTCTACTAGTAGGAGGAGTGGCAATCTGCTTTCTAGTCTTCCACTTATACCTTGCGGCGTAAGTAGTAGGATTTAAAGTAACAGCTTTCCTCCTATATTTTTCTAGATAGCTAAGCCACTCTCGCTCACCTAGCTGTTTAATCCGTGCGCGTATAATAGTTAGGCTAGTCCTAGTATAGCTTAGATCTAGCTTTGTCGCCTCCTTTGCTAGTATATCTGCTTTTTCATTTCCTATAATGCCATGGTGTCCGGGTACCCACTGAATAGTAGGGATTACGCCTTTGTCTTGGAGTTTCTTTGTTGCTTTGATACATCTAAGTTGCCATTCTTGTCCTGGGTTATCTAAAGCAGTCTTTAGTCTAAGTATTGCAGCCTAGTTGTCTGCATATACTCTAACTTCTAGACAGTCGTCTACTAGATCGATAGCTTTCTCGAGGCCTAGGGTAATACCCTCTAGTTCTCTGTTGTAGACTAGCTGGTTATAACCTATGTTGACCTTTTCCTGAGCTTTAAGACTAGCTCCTTTGTAGAAAGCTACTCCTACTCCTATACCTTTGCCTTCTCTTGCAGCTGAGGCGTCTAAGTAGATAGATAGGAGATAATTGTCTTCTAGTAGTTCCTTGTGGTGCTTTACTTCGATTTCCTTTAACTTCTTAGATATATTCGTCTTGTAGCTTATTTCTAGGCTCCACGGCATAGAGGCGTAGTGTTTAATCTTCTCACTATCGTCTGATAGAGCTGTTGAGATAGATCTAGTAATACGCTCTAGCTGTTTCCCTTGGTTGCTAGCGATAGCAATATTAAGAGGGTAACTAGGGGCTAGTTTTCTAGCTCTAAAGGCGTATTGTCGCAGGGCGTTGTTTAGCCTAATTCTAGGAGGGTACAGGGCTGCTTCTACCTCGCTTGGTATAGTCGGTGATGTTCTAAAGGATCCTAGGATTTTTCTGCAGGCTTGATTCTGCAGCTTCTGCCTTTAGTTAAGTGTTGTCTGCTGCTCCTTCCAGAAGATTTAACACCCGTAGTCTGCTACGCTCGTGACGCAGGCTAGATAGAGCTGTCGTACTGCGCTAGGCGAGAGGCCTTTGTTTGAGTTAGCTAGCCTGCTAAGGCGGTGAAAAGCTGCGCTAGCCTCTTGGTTCCTGATGTGGCTGTGGTGTTTGAATTTAAGGCTGCTGTCAAAGTGGACACCTAGCCATCTAACTAGCTCCTCAGAGTGTACTGTTTGCTAGTTTGGCAGAGTAAGAACTCTGCTTTGATCTTTTCTAGATCTTGTCCAGTTAACTAGTTCAGTCTTTGAGCTATCGAATTGGATGGCTGACTCCTCTGCTAGTCTAAAGAGGTTCTGGATCTCTTTTTCTAGTAGCTTTATGTTTCTCTTTACTAACGTAGACGATATAGAGATTTGGAGGTCATCTATATAGGAGGAGGAGTATATATTTGCACTTGCTTAAGTCGCCTGAAATAGCGGTTTAGAGTAGATCAAAAACAGAATAGGCGAGGCTGGGCTTTCTTGAGGTGTTCCTGTCGAGATTTGCTGTGGCTCCTCAGTTTGTCCATCGAAGGAAAGCTCTAAGACTCTATCTTCGAGGAAGGATTTTGTCCAGGCTAGTAGGCAGCAGGGCAGGCCTTGGCCTCTCATGCCTTCTAGTAGCTTGTTTTTTAAGACGTGGTCGAAGGCTCCTTTTATATCAAGAAAGATAGTAGTAGTCACTTTCTACTTTCTTTTCTGCTGCTGTATATTATTATAGAAGAGTAGCGCAGCGTCGATAGCAGATTTCTTTAATCTTCCTCCTAGTTGAGAGGGGTGGAGTAGATCAGTTGTTTCCGCTAGTGCGCCTAGTCTCCTAGCTATTAGCCTCTCTAGTACTTTGCCTAGGTAGTTTAGAAGTGAAATTACTCGGTAGGCCTTTGGTTTCGTGTAGTCAGGTTTGTTTGATTTTTTCAAGATAACTCCTTTTGCTTTTCTCCAGCACCTTAGGTGGTAGCCTAGATTAAAAAAAGTAGAGTATATCTTGAATAGCGTTTCTGGCTGCGTTGTGTATGCCTTTTGAATAACTTCCTAGCTGATTAGATCGGGTCCGGGTGTGGTCGCTTTTACTTTACAGCAGGCATAGTATAGCTCGTCCTCTATTAGAGTGGGCCAAGTCCACCTGCTATCTCCTCTGTAGGTGTGGAAGGAGGGAGTTGTTGTTGTTAGTGGCGGAGGAAATAGGTCCTCTCTGAAAGCCCTGCATTTCTCAGTAAACGATTCCTTGCCTTTCATTGTAGGTATTTGGGCCAGAAAACGTGTAGTTACCTTTATAAAGCTAGCTAAAGGCGCTGCGATTGTCACGTAGAAGCTAGTGTTAGCATAAAAACGCAATACTAATCTTAAGGCAGCTAATTAAGCCGCTACACAATGAATATTACACAAAAGAAAGCAAATATAGAAGGGAGAGACTCTAATAGTCAAAGAGAGAGAGCGATTAGCAACGCTAAGAGAGTTTAGGGCGTGTAGTAATAGGAAGAAGGTGAAGAAGAGAGCGCGCGTTAAGGCAGGTAAACCATCACAAAGGCGCTATAGACGCTGTAGTAAGACGAGGCACAACTTGCGTACCTATAAGCAAGATAAAGAAGTAGATTCTAAGTAGAACAGTCTACTACAATTTCTTATTACTATCGTGGTTGTACTATAATCATTAGATAATGATTGTGGAGTTGGTGAAGTCTTTGTAACGGAGTTACATGCCTATATATATTATACTACACTAGAATAATCAGTTCAGATTATTCTCGTGCTTACCTTTTGCTGAAGGGTAGGTTGGTTGCTGGCCGAGTGGTTGTCGCGTAGTATCGACTTAGTGGGCATTGGTGCTCACCTCCATTACAGTTTTGGCGTAGTGGCAAACTTGCCCGTCTGGCAAACTCGCATGTCTCAGACGTTATTATAATAGTTTATTAACTATAATGAAAGTGCATAATAATGTCTCGACATTGACGCGCTAGTAGAAAGTGGCCCACTTACTTGGGTGGCCTGCTCGCTTGTGAACCACGTTATATAGGCTAGAATTTATCTGATTCCTGATAGGAATAAAGCGTTCTATATATAGTAGAAAAACTAATTCCCTTCTATAATTGTGTTACGTTGTCCTAAACTTCCGCCTGCTCCTAATAACGCACCACTTGCGAATTTATCTCTAATCCTAAATGTTCCAAACCGCTCTTCCTTTTTCACCTTATCAGCACTAGGTCCATAGCCACCGCCACCTGGTGTCATTATGATGATCCTATCACCGGCACTCATTGCAGTCGTCGCCTTGCCACCAAGATTGATCGTTCTGACGGTTCCGTCGGTCGGATCCTTGCGGATCCACAGATTCAAACCCCGCTTACCCTCCTCACCGCCTGCCATCCCGTAAGGTGCGATGACTCTACGCTCCGAGAGTATAGAAACCTGGAGTGGCATGCGGAACTCAATGTCGCGCACGCAGCCGTCGCCACCACGATTTAGGCCGGCACCGCCACTACCTTGGCGAATAGAGAATTCGTGTAACAAGACAGGGTATCTCTTCTCGAATACTTCGGGATCGGACATTCTGGTATTTGTAACGTGGGTGTGAACACCACTCTCGCCCTGCCAGTCAGCACCAGCGCCAGAGCCACCAGCGATTGTTTCATAATAACCGAAGCCCTTGACAGTTGCTCTGGTAGTACTGTCCGTACCACCATAGCCGAAGGTCAGGTTATTGCAAGTACCTTGAGAGGCGGCGCAGGCTTGGAACGCTTTGAAGACCAGGTCCACGATTCGCTGCGATGTCTCAACATTGGACCCGACCGTTGCAGCCTTGAGTGAGGGGGAGAGAATGGTGTTCGGTGGTAACTTCAGCTTGATAGGGTCAAGACAACCTTGGTTCAAAGGCATGTCCGTTGCGACCATTGATCGCAGACAATACTAGGGGAGGTCAGCTCGATGTTTCCTGGAGCCGAATGTCATTTTGCGTGTGTCTTACCATGATTCCAGACAGCATAACCGCAGGGGGGCAATTGAGGTTGCCGAATTGCTCAGGGCCGGTCCCCTCGAAATCGAATACGGCATCACCACTTTCAGGGTCAATAGTAATCTGCAATGATAACATTGTACCGTCATCAAGAAAGTCGGTTGCCTGCAGATCTTGTCCTTCGAATCGTCGACTGAAACCCTGCAGCAGGTCTCGGACAGACTGTGCAGCATTTTTTTGAATAGCCTCCATGTAAAATTCAACGACCGGCCATGAGTAATCCTTGACTAAGGCGTTGATGAGCTGGATACCTCTGTTGTTGGACGCAATAGCGGCTTTGAGGTCAGCGATATTGTCTTTTAGGGTTCTTGTCCCACTGCAGCCCGGATATGCGGCAGGAATATCGACTAAGATCTCATGAAGCCCCTCGTCGTCAAATGCACCTTCTTTCACAATCTTAAAAGTTTCGACAGCAACTCCTTCCTGCCAAAGCTCAGTGGAGTGGGGGGGCATCGATCCAGGTTGGATACCACCAATGTCAGCATGATGCCCACGGTTGGCCACGAAGAATAGAATCTTGGAAGGGTTGTCCTCGCTGAACACGGGTGTAGTGACGGTCAAGTCAGGTAGATGTGTACCTCCAGCGCGTGGATGGTTGCTAAGCAGAACGTCACCGGGCTTCAGCTCACCTGGTCCGTAAAGGCTTGCTTGATAGGCAACAGAATAGCTCATAGAGCCAAGATGACCGGGAATATGTGGCGCATTGGCTACCAGACCACCAGTCGCCGAAAAAATGGCACAGGAAAAGTCTAGGCGTTCCTTGATATTGACGGAGATGGAGGTCTTTTGCATGGTCTGTCCCATCTGCTCGGCGACGCTCATGAATCGATGACCGAAGATGGAAAGCTGCACCGGATCTACCGTATCCGTGGACACCTCGGGTGTTTTGACATCCAAAATCTCCAGGATCAGGTGTTCGGCCAGGACGGTAGCAGCACTCGAAAGGTCAAGCACAATAGTCTGGGTCTTGTCGACCACCATAGCAGGTCCTTGGACCGTACTGCCGATTGGGAGATCGTCGAGATAGAAGAGTGCAGTTTCAATCCACCCGTGGCCCTCATAGTATACCCTGGTGGATGCTCGAGACTTGATAGGAGTAGCCAGTGGAGATGAATGTATCCTACGTAGCTCTTCGAATGGGTTGGTGAGTTTGAGATTGATACCTTTGCCAATGGTGCGCACTCTGACATCGTCGACAATAGTACTGCGAGGTTGTGTGAAGCCAAATTCCTGCTGGTGGCGAGCAACGAATGCCTCCTCGAAACCAGCGAGGCGGCCAGGATGGGGGATCATCAGCGACGTGTCGGTGCCCTGATATCGCATGTTGAGGAAGAATTCATGTCTGATTTGTTCAACAGAGAATCCTTGGGACTCCAGGGCACCGACACCCTGAGCCCGCAGCCTGTCGAAGCGGCCTTGCAGCTGGTCCAGTGTCTGATTCGAGAAATTAATGGTCTCTGGCTCTTGATGCTCCACAACGACATCCGCAAGCGCCATCCCATACGCTGACAGAATACTGGAATAGCGAGGAATAATCACACGCCTGATGCCGAGATCTCGAGCTATAGCGACAGCGTGCTGTCCTCCAGCCCCACCGAAGCAACCGAGATTATGAGCTCCAGCTTCGAAACCTCGGCCCTCGCTCAATGTTCTGATAGGCCTTGTCATTGTCGCGTTGGCGACGTTCAAAAATCCCACCGCCACTTCTTCGGCGGTCAATGCTATCTCGCTCGCCATGTCCTTGTTGATTGTTGCTGTCAGCTCGTGGAATGCTTCTTCAACGACGTGCTTGTCGAGAGCTCGGGGGAACAAGTCTGGTACAATTCGGCCAAGGAAGAAATTGGCGTCCGTGACGGTGAGGGGTCCGCCTCGGCCATAGCAAGCAGGACCAGGATTAGCACCAGCACTCCCTGGACCAACTTTGAGAAGACCATTTTCCCATCTCAATATAGAGCCACCGCCAGCTGCGACAGTATTGATATCCAGCTGTGGTGTCTGAATCGTCACCTCAGCGATAGTGCTCTCAAATATATGCTCCAGAGATCCGGCATAGCGGGCCACATCCGTACTTGTCCCACCCATATCAAACCCTAAAACAGGAGTACCATCGGTTGGATCATAGCAAGTCTTAGACAGTCCAATTACGCCACCAGCAGGACCACTCAACACACCGCGTAAGCCAGTGAAATTTGAGTACGCCGTGAGACCACCATCTGACTGATTCAAAAACAATTTCCGTCCATTGTGATCTTCTAATCGACCCTCGAAGCCCTTGCGAAAGCTCGTGAGATATGTGTCGATAACGGGCGACAAATAGGCATCTGCCACAGCAGATTGACTCCGGGGTACAATCTTGACCATTTTTTGGAGCTCTGAGGATGCAGAGACTCGGAAACCAAGCTCTCGGGCTATAGCCGATACACACTGCTCGTGATCTTGGAAAGTATAAGAGTGCATCATGGCAATAGCAACACTGCGATAGCCTTGGTTCCATAAAAGTGAGAGGTCCTTCCGTATCTTGTCGTAATCTGGTGCCTTTATGATGCGAACAATTTCTCCCGATAAGCCCTTTACCAACGCTGAATCGCTGCCAACATCAATGACAGGCTTAGGATCTGGGTGCTCGGTAAACTCTTCTATCGTGATACGCTCATCGACTTCAATCACCCTCTCGTAAAGCTTTTCCATTCGACGAACTGACAAGTCGAAGATGTGAGGACGGGCCTGATTGCCGATTTCCAAAATGTCCCGGAATCCCTTGGTGATGACTAACACCGTAGGTTCACCTTGCCTTTCCAAGAGCGCATTTGTTGCCACGGTGGTCCCCATGCGGATGGACTCGACAGTATCTAGGTTTAGAGGCGTTCCTCTTGGGATCGACTTGCCGCCGGCTATTTCCAAGATTTGGCGGATACATTCCGTTGGCGCGTCGGGATACTCATCAGGGCTTTGCGAAAGGATTTTGATCACCAGCTTCTGATCTGAATCGGGGATCCAGGCCCAGGCATCTGTGAAGGTACCACCACGATCGATGGCGATGCGGATTCCCGAAGACTTGGCTTCTGTCATGTCTGTGAAAATGTTAGTACTTCACCAGGAAGCATGAGTATCTTGAAAATGGCTGGAGAGAATGTGTTCAAGTAAATGAGTGAGAACCGAGTGAACAGACAAGCTCATAAGTCCTCTAGATTTCCACTTGGTTTACACAACACCCAATAGTGGAGTAGCTTATCATGATGTGCAATCCGCATGCGTGGAACCGTTTGCTTGGGCCGACTCGCCGACCGATCATGCCGTGGAGATGCCTGCTGTCGACGGACCAATGAACATCATGAGGCTGGCGATACGTTCACTGTAATCATATTCCTATCATGTACTAGGGCGTACTATAGGCGTAGTAAACCACGGCGTCATGTTATCTCATGATGGTGTTGGTGCGGGAGCTGGATGATCGGCCTACGACAGCCGAGCCGACCTCCAGCCACGCTGAATTTTCAATTGAAAACTAGCCGAAAACGGCAACGGCTTAAAAAAACCAGCGGGATGCCAGGCGATGGCATTCCCAACCAAGTCTTGCATCATTCTGTATCTCCGCACGGTCTGCGTATCTGTATGTCTTATCTTATCTAAGGGGATGCCAGTATTCTAGCTGGGCCTGGAGAGATCACCCCAGTTCCCAGGGCCAAGGTTCCTAGCAGACCATAAGGGACTATTTCTGCTTGTCTTCACTTCTAGCAAGCGATCACTCGTACGAACATACATTCTTGATCCTTACGTACTTTCAACCTTGGTCTAGACTTCAGTAGCATCTTGCCAACGTAGAAGAACTATAAATCAAGGCGCAAGAAGCTATCCCCTATGAACACCGGCACCAAAGATGAGTGTCCTAGCAAGGAGAATGCCATGGCGTTGAACACAACCACGACCAATGGCTCCCTCGGAGAAGCATTGTCGGAGTCCTACTATATTGACCCCTTGAAAGAGCGCAAAATGATGAGGAAGTTCGATGTACGTGATCCAAGAATATCTTTCCCTCTTAGCACGATACAGACATGTGCCTTTTTGCTGACAACGCATATCTGTGTACATAGCTGTACGCCATAGTAGCCATGGGTATCTTATATATGATGTCCAATCTTGACAGGAGCAATCTGGGTAATGCCAACATTGCTGGTATGCCAAAAGAGATTGGTCTTACTGGAAATCAATTTGGCATCGCCACCACGTTGCTGTACGCTGTTGCTACTCGAATCTCTACCTTGTAAACTGGCTAATTTTTCTCTCGCCAGATTTGCTACCTACGTCCCGTTCGAAGGGCCAGTCGCCGTCATGCTCAAGGTCATCGGACCTAAGCCTCTCATGACAACGTGCGCGTTTTGCTGGGGAGTGGTTTGTCTTGGAATGTGTATGTCAGGATTTGCAGCTCGATCCGTTTGTCACCTTGAGATTACAAACTGACGCAAGAACGAGGTTTTAGCCTTCATCCAGAATCACTATGGCCTCTACGCTTGCCGTCTTCTGATAGGCTTTTTCGAGGCTGGGCTCATCCCTTGCGTTAACGTTTATATCGGGGCAGTGTACAAAAAGTCCGAAAGAGGTCAACGATCTTCCTTCATCTTCGCATTTAGTGCATTTTCCAGTGCCTTCGGTGGTCTCTTGGCTTTTGGTCTCACGCAGATCCGGACCGCCAACTACTCGGGATGGAGATGGCTCTTTGCAGTGGAAGGGGCCATCACTATCATGGTTGTGCCACTTTTCTGGTTCATCTTCCCCACGACACCGACTGAAGCCTGGTTCCTTACTGAAGACGAGAAGCAAATGATGCACATACGCTATGCTTCCGACCCATCATGGGGCTTTGACGACAGGTTCGCCTGGAGTGAGTGTCTCAAAGCATTTGTCGACCCAAAATGGTACGCATTTTTCGCGTATCAGTTTTCCATCAATATCAGCCTGTACGGCTTAACAACCTTCATGCCTGCCATTGTCCGTGGGTTAGGATACACGTCTTATCACGCAAATCTCATGACCGTACCAATCTTCTTCGTCGCTTTGGTCTTCTTTCTAGCCCTTGCCTGGGCATCAGATCGAACGGAAGTCCGCGGCCCGTTCCTCATTATTGGTCTTGTGTGTTTGATTGCGGGCTATTCAATCTTGTTGACGGTCAACAATCTGAAGGTGAAGTTCTTCGCATGTTTCGGTGAGTTCCCAACCAGTCGACTCTCGAGTATGATACGTGGTGCTCAGGACGATTCACTAATCTGTCGAGTAGTCGCGGCTCTGGGCATCTATCCAACTACCGGTCTTTCTATTATGTGGCTACAAGATAATGTGTCGCGGCACTATAAACGAGCCACCATGGTAGGATTCACCCTCACCCTTGGGAACACAGCGGGCGTCGCAGTCGGACAGATCTTCACGGCCCAGAGTGCACCAGAATACCTTCCCAGTATTCGCATCGCGTTGGGTATGGCTTGCTTCGCCTTAGTCGATGTCTGCTGCATTATGACTGCGTTCAAGTGGATTAACAGGAAGCGTGCGGCTAGGCTACTGGCAGCTGAGCAGGCTGGAAGCCCAATCGAGTCAGATGCTTCTCTGGGAGACTATGATCCTCATTTCCGATACACTATCTGATGTGGGATAAACCCTTTGCTGGGTGCCAGCTTGGGACGCAATGTCTCCCTGCTCACTGGGATACATTCGGCTCAGGAACGGAGAGGAAGATTTCTTGGCGGGAGGCGGCGCTACTTTGTATATTGACACGACGCTTCGTAATTGGTGGATTTCTTCAATCTGCTATGCGCACGACAAAACTGTGCAATGAAGCACCAGAATAACTTTTGTGGTCAGACCTGCTCGTTGATCCAATGATGCACTGAGTTCGCAATTACAGAGTGCCCTGCATCCAACCTGTCTAAAGATCTTTGCATTTAATTCCATCCTTTACACAGTGCTATGACGCCTCAGCGTCTAACCTTGACTCTGAACGGATATGTGCCCCACAAGTGCAGCCTGTTCACGTTTCCGATATGTCGGAATAACCGGTTCGGCGATCAACTTGCTAGAACTGTGCTTATCGGTTCGTGCAGCACTCTGAGCATGTACCATCGGCTTGCTGTAGATAGCTGGCATCATAGAGACTGTATCATCCTAGATCAAATTCCAAACTGATAAAGCTTGCAGGTTTGTAACAGAAGTCCAGTCCTTTATTATCGACACCTTGTTAGTATCGCGCAGAGCGGACTATCTCCGACTCGGACACCAGTTTACTGTAACTCCACGCATCTGCCATTGTTCAACATGGCTGAAACGCCGGTCGTCACCCTGCTCAAGGAATTGATGGATATTCCATCCATAAGTGAAGAGGAAGAAGAGATTGGTCTTTACCTGGAGATGTATCTCAAGAAAAGAGGATACACCGTTGAATTGATTCCTATTGCGCCAGGTTCGACACGCCGCAACGTGTACGCTTACATGGGTAAGAATCGAAAAGCTCGAACCATGCTTACCTCACACATGGACACGGTACCACCTCATATACCCTTGAGTATCCAAGGGGATATCATCTACGGCCGTGGAGCATGCGATGACAAAGGTCCTTTAGCGGCGCAGATTATTGCTCTGGAGGAGTTGAAGTCAGAGAATGCCGTAAAGGATGGCGATGTCTCGCTACTCTTTGTTGTCGGTGAGGAGAGAGGCGGACCTGGCATGCTCGCAGCGAACGATATGGATCTCACGTGGGAAACCGTCATTTTCGGCGAGCCAACGGAAGGAACTCTGGCTACTGGACACAAAGGCCACTACGTCTTCGAACTATTTGCAAAGGGCATCGCGTGTCACTCTGGATACCCTCATCGCGGAAAGAGCGCTACTGATAGGCTTGTGTCCCTCTTAGATGAGCTAAGGTCTTTGAAGCTACCAACTTCTGAACTTCTTGGACCCACGACATATCACTGCGGCAAGCTCAACGGTGGCGTAGCCTACAATGTCGTTGCTGGTGAGGCTTATGCACTATGCGGTATCCGTGTCGCTGCCGAGCTTCCCACAATTGAGCGGCAAGTGACGGATGTGGTCGGAAAGTATCCCGACGTTGAGTTGAAAAAGTCATTTGCGTATCCGGAGACGGTGCTCGATCATAACTTTGAGGGTGAGCGCCCTTTTCACTGTCGATCTCCCCAAAACGCCAACCCTTCTCCCCTGATGCATCTTTCAAAGTATCCTAGCTAACGCTTTCTTTCACTTTACAGGTATTGAGCATAAGCCAGTGTCATTTGGAACCGATATTCAACGGTTGAAAGGAGCGCATAAGAAGTATCTCTACGGACCAGGATCGATTCTACATGCTCATGGGGTGGACGAGCAGGTTGCCATCCCCGACTTGATCGAATGCGTAAATGTTTACAAGCGTCTCACGCTGGCGGCCCTCCAGTAGTTATCTGTGTTATTCGACTCAGGATACAAATAGGCAGAAAATCTGGACTCTCCTCGTCGCAGGTCGCTTGGAGGATGCGGGATATCGAATCAATACACTTGTTTGACACTTAATATCCAGTGTGATCAGCCATGATGCCTTTGCTGGAAATCGAGCAAAGTGAGTAAGTGATGCTGTTGATGCATTTCCCACGTTCTGCGGCGTATCCTGGTCGGAAGGAGATAGCAGAAAACTGAGTCGGCGAAGAGCGGGGAACCGGGTTTGATAGCGGAACCGAAGCCTGGACAAGTAGGTCGGCGCGTGATGTCGGCATCAGCCGCAGGACGGCCGACCATTGCTGATATGGAAAGCCGAGCACTATGTTCAGTCGAATCTGCTGAGTGTCGATCGATGCAAACCTTTAGGTTATAATCGTGGGCAGCAAGATCGATTCATCGCTTAATCACTTCGTCACATGTGCTAGGAATTCGGACGCGTTTCTAATGCCTGAAAAAGCTTTCACGGCGAAGGATAGAGTCATTAGATCTCAGCGATAAATTATGCTGTCTAATATGAACGAGATCCCTATCTTGGAACGAGACGAGGCATTCGCCATTACTGCTGACTTCGTAGCCGACAAAGACGCGAAAAAAGTGAGCCTGGGTGCCGGAGTATATCGCGATGGGAATTCCAAGCCGTGGGTTCTGCCCAGTGTCAAGGCAGTATGTCAGCCACTTCGTAGGGAAATGTCATCTCTGCAATCCTCTCTTTTCATTGGTTGTTGCTGATTCAAGGGATAGGCCAAAGATATTCTTCACAATGATCCTTTGCTGTGCCATGAGTATCTTCCCATAGGCGGCTATGAGCCATACCTAAAAGTTGCAAGAAGACTTGTGTTGGGAGAGGAGTACGATTCAGCACGCAGGCAAACTGTGTCTGTTCAGACCATCTCTGGTACAGGAGCCAATCATCTTGGAGCTGTATTCCTGGCACAACAATTACAGCCCCGGAACGTCTTCATTTCTGACCCAACGTGGAGCAATCATCACCTCATCTGGGAAGTGGCTGCTCCAACTGTGGAACGGAAGAAATACCCTTACTACAAAGCCTCCACACAGTCGCTGGACTTTGAAGGCATGATGTCCACATTGAACAACGAGGCCGAGGAAGGTGATGTGGTCATTTTGCATGCGTGTGCACATAATCCCACCGGCATCGATCCGACAGGAGATCAGTGGCAGGAGCTTGCAGAGCTCTTCGTGCGTAAGAAGCTGTTCGCCTTCTTTGACTCGGCTTATCAAGGCTTTGCGACCGGCGATGTGGATGCAGATGCATGGGCGATTCGGTTGTTCGACCGAGCATTCTTCAATGGCGATGATGCCTCCCTCTCCTCAACTGCAAGTCGTCATGGCCCAGCTGGCATGTGTGTTGCTCAGTCATTCGCCAAGAACTTTGGGCTTTATGGCGAAAGAGTGGGTGCCTTCCATCTCCTCCTCCCTGCACACGCCTCTGCTCTAGGAGCGCAAAGTCAGCTGTATCGCCTCATCAGAGCGGAGATATCTAACAGCCCTCTGTTCGGCTGCCGCATCGTTCATGCTGTGCTTTCCAACCCTGAACTCACTCAAATGTGGGAACAGGATTTGAAGACGATGTCGAGCCGCTTGAAGGTTGTCCGAAGCAAATTACGAAACCAACTCGAACAGCATGATGGTGTTGGAGATTGGAGTCACGTCGAGTCGCAGATCGGCATGTTCAGCTACACAGGGCTCACAGAGCAGCACGTACAGAGGCTCAGGGATGTTCATCATATCTATCTGATGCGTAACGGACGAGCTAGCTTGAGCGGCGTGAACGAAGGCAACGTCAAATATGTGGCGGATGCATTCGCCGAGGTTATCCAGACTTTGGGAAAGACTCCGCGTAAGACCTGATAGAAGCAGGGCAAATATGATCAATCGTCCACTTTCAACGATATGCAACCTCAAAATCAATGCAGTGGTGAACAAGTGATCGATCACTTTGATATGCATCTATCTCACCTATCAAGCACGAACAGAAACTGGTCCGCACGCAAATGATGCTATATTCCCATCACCAGGTGGTGTACGTATTTACGTCGCATCCAAGATGCCGCAATTAATCCCGCTCCTTTCAGAAGATACCCTTAAGCTGCAACACGACTACGTACACTATCTGAAGCCATACAAAAACTAGATTAAAAAATCAATATGCTCCGCACCTATAAGGTTGATTTCGTTCTGACTGCCATCCGTATGATCGAGGAAGGCTTGCAAAAGTGGGTTGTCCAACGGGTCAACATTGACCTCTCCCCTATAATTACCGCCAAACCCTGGCGGGAACATAAACTTACTCCAGTCATACTCATCCAAAACAGCTATACCCGTACGAGGTATACCGAGCGAGGACAAGGTACCCGTAAACCTCTCTTGATCACTATTCTCGCCCACCTCTCCTCTTTCGCGCTCTCTGCCCCCGTCAGCTTCTGATTCAATCTCTCCTCCTTCTCCCATCCCTGCCCCGACTCCAACGCCCCCGGGAGCCGGCGTGATATCCCGAGTCGCTGTGGCCCGCGCAAACAGCTGGTTGACTCTTCTCTGGATCTGCAGCAATCGAGCAAAGTACTCTCCGGCAATGACATTGCCGCTATCGCGCATCATTATTAGGAGCTGGAACGCCGTCTGAACAGCATCAGAATCGCTCGCGTTTGGTGATGAGATAGCAGATACAATTAGTACGAGTGTTGAGGAAAACAAATGATAGGCATCAAAATAGCCACAAGTGGCAAGTGCGTTCTCAATGAAAAGCTGTACAATAATGGCATTGGATGTCCGAGCGGCGGCGACGCAGGAATCGGCGAGCGATCGTATGTGATCCGATATTGGTGGTGTCTGACTGCCGCTGCTGCCGTAGAGACCAGCCCCGGCGCCGGCGAATGGATTTTTGAGTTTGAAGACATAGAGAAGGATAGGCCGCGTTGTCAAGATGATGCATTGGTTGAAGTGTAGTTGCAAAGACGCCACTGGTCGAGGGACTCCGCCGGCAGGATCCCATCTTAATCGAGCTGGAACATGGCTATCCCATTTTCTCAACTTCCCCAAAATCGAGCGAATATTCTGAACATAATCATCGCCGTTGGCTTTGGATAAGGAGACATGGATGTCTTCCATGATATATCCTGTGACCTGGGCAAGATTTATGTGCGCAACGAGGTGATCTGTAGAACTCCCTAAGAATTTCTGCTCAATCGGAGATAGACCGTTGATGGAAGGCATCGTGACATCGATATCGGAGTCTTGGATCGTGATGGGCAGACCAAGCTTGGAGCAAGTCGAACGGTCAAAGATATACACAGTCCACCACAGTCGGCAACGATGCTCCTGCTCTATGGCTGAAAGGGCAGAAGATTCTGCGGCGCGGCGATGGAGGCCGATAACAGTGCTTGAGCGTAATGCCATGCCGCTGTACATGTGCGAGGACTTGACACGACCGAGCGCTCTCGAGTAAAAGGACTATATACATGGTCAATTGATATACTTATGAGCAGCTCAATGGACCAGATAGTGTGTGAGGGAGGACGAGACGGCTAAGGAACAAAAGACAGTTTGGACTGACAAAAAGAAGTAGTGTTTCAATCTGGTCGATTGAAGGCTCTTCGAATACATCTTGCAAAAGCTCTACAGCGGTGAGGAAGTACCCAGTTCCGGCCACAGTCGATGCGCTTGCCTCCTTTGCAGCGGTGAGCGTGGTAGAATACAGCTCGCCTAAAGCCAGGATAACGAAGAACTTGCAGACCCAGACGCTATCGCTTTCCCGTCCAAGCGCCTGCGTTGATCCGTACATCCTTTCCAGATGCTGAAAGAAGTGCTGTTGCATGAACATGTGGTAGTCCTGGCCAATGAACCGAATAGCCACACGCACCAGTAAAGTCGCCCGGATGCGATCGGGGAATTTACAGCTAGCCACGCTACTCATTTGTCGGGAGAAAATTGGGTGGCGCACATACCCGCAGTTTGTGGGCAGGGGCGTGGCCACGGCATCCGGATCGAGACATTGTAGTATGCGATCGCTGAATGCTGAACAAGTGGACTCTCCCATGAACTGTTGTTGCAGGGCATGACTTGAGGGAAAGGAGCGACCTGGTGGATGATCTCGATTGCTAACGTTTGTATCAACATTGGACATACACGCATCTGATCGGGAAGATGGGCGAGGAGGGGGCGCGGGCGGAATCGTAGGTGCAGGTGTACGGGCAGCAGGAGAAGAAGCCTGTAAGCTTGCATCCGGTGATCTTGGCCTTATAGGGTGCTCATCTCTATTGGCATCGAAGTTGATGTCTGGATTGATGCTAGAGTCATGATTTTCCGTGCTTGCGCTGTCTGCGTTCTCACGGGATCTATGTAACTGCTGGAGGTAGCTAAACAAGTATTGTCAACCGATGGCCATTCTGCCACGCGCTGCTTAAAAATGAGAATTGAACGTACCTCTCGGGCACAGTGACTCGCCTCTCCCGCAGTGGATACCGACAAGATGTGTCTTTACGGGCTTTTGAACAGCGCTGGCACGGCACGTCACCAGAACATTTCACCTTCAGTGAATGGCAGCGTTGACATCTAGACACGACTTCATCAGTCCGTTGTCACTACACACAACGCTTCAAAGACTCAAAAGCTGTATTCGCCAAGCGTTTCCAAACGTAGACTTTGATTCATACATGGCGTCGGCTCGGCATGGCGCAGCCTGAAGAAAACACGTACGCGACATAAGACCTTTTGTTACCCTGTCGATTACTGCTCCTTTCGCCTGACGTCGCTGACGATTCAAGGGCCGGCGGTTCGGCCATGGCGGTGCATGTATCGGAAAGGAGGACCGATGCTCAGGTGCTGCCCGCCTGTTCACGTTCAAGGGCGAGTGGGTGGAAAAGAAGATCGGAGTCGGTGAACATGCGCGGGAATGCCATCGTCAAAGGCGGCGTCGTTGCCGTTGTTTATACCGATGCCGATACCGATACCGGTGATACGAACAGTACCTACCGACGCCGACAGCGCTAGAGCCGACAGCGGTGTCTAGCAGCGCTTCCTTATCGCGGTACCGACAACGACAAAAAAATTGTCGGCCCTTTCCTGATCCGAGGCCATGTCATCTGAACAAGATATTCTTATCATTGAATCTCCCGTTCAAGCTTCCGGTAGCGCTTATTAATGCGACTGCAAATTAACAGAGCATTTCAAAGAGTGTTGCTATTGCCCAAAATGGCTAGTTAAGAGCGAGACCACTCGCCTATCCGCTGTCATCTGCTATAGTTGTCATTCTATGTTATCCTGACACGCTCGAGCGCATCTGCTGCAAAGGTCATGGATATGATATTCTAGACGTTGGCGCCATCACAGCTAGAGGCTTCTGGTACTGTATTACATAGAAGCTTTATTCTAGAAACTCCGGCTCGATTACTCCAGTTTGCTCCAACAATCTCGCATAATGTTCCGTCCTCCTATGATCATCAAACGCAAATACTCTCCCCTTTCCCTTCCGGCACTTTGCAAGATCAATCGTCGCACACACAAGCTCATCCTCCTTTGTCTTCGCTTCAACAATGATATGGCCGTTGGGGTCGACGATGCTCGACCCGCCGATGAGCGACCCGTGATCTTCCACGCCAGCTTTGGCGGAGTGAATGCTGAAGCACGCATTCTGGTAGCTCCCGGCTTGGCAGGAGAGGCGGTGGTGGTGGAGGGCTTCTCGCTCTTGCCACTCGGGGGTGCCTTCGTATTGCGGGGCGAAGGCTGTGGTATTGTAGCCCTCCTGTGAGGAAGAGTTGTGTGAGCGACTGCCGCATAGACCAAAGGGAAAGAAAAGGGAAAGAATAGGGAAAAAGGGGATGGCACTTACTAGTAGAAGCTCGACGCCCTGGAGTCCGTAGCACCTCCATGCTTCAACCCATCGACGATCGTTGCACAGGAGCATCCCGATGATAGGATCACCTTTGCCTTGGTTCGCCGTTGGAGCAGCGGCTGAATCAACATCTTTGGCCTTCAGAGCACCATCTACTAAGCCTGGAGCTCGGAAAGCTTGGAAACCCTGATCGCCGACAGTAAAGTACCGCTTCTCTAGTTGCTGTGCGAATCCAGGAGTGGTGAGTGGCTCTTTCCGTCCGGGGAGGTGCACTTTTCTGTACTTTGCTAGACACTTGCGCTGCGAGGCTGAGTAGTACACAGCCGTGTTGTAATCAGTATTGCTAGCGTCGTCAACCCAGCGCTCGCCAAAGCCAAAGTAGAGGTCAATTCCTAGCTCGTTGGTGCGGTCAATGAGGGGCTTGATGTTGGGAGAGTTGACGAAGGCGTAGGGATCCGAGGGTGATGCTTGCTCGAAAAATTTGGCGAGCTCAGCGGGGTCTTTGATGATGTAGGACGCGAAGAATGTGGTGAAAGCTAGCTCGGGGTATACCAGAAGTTTGACATGCTTCTCGGCAGCCTGCTCGAGCAATTTGAGCATTCGCTCTAAGGTCTCTGACCTGGGTGTTGAGAGACTTTTTACTGGGCCCATTTGCGCGGCAGCGACAGTCAACAGCCGTGGCTGATCCGATCCATTTGCTGCAGCCATCTTCCAGTGCCGTTGTGGTAAAATTGCAGTTCTTCTGAAGGTCAAAGTCCTGGTTTTGGGCGCATGACATGTCATGGCATCGTACGCAGCATAGGTGATACTTAAGAACGCCGGTAGATGCCGGTTGCAGCCGATTTGCGATACCGAGGTGGTGGTGGGGGCAGCCAAACACCTAACTAGGTATCAAAAGTCGGCTCTTTAGCTACAGCTAGGCGTGCCAAGCCGATCAACTCAGAGCCTGCGGCCGGTGATGCAAGTCATGAGCGAAAGCGTACTGATAAGCGGCTCAGGCACAGTTGTTTCGGCAAAATAATTGTGTTTCGTGACTATCCTTTGAATTCTTTCGTTTTTCCGACATTGACAGTGTATTCAACAATTTCTGGCTGAACTATACAACCTGGGCATCTAGCTCTAGCCTGTACCGTCCCATCTACTGTCCCTGCATGACCATAGGAACAGTCATGATCATTATCTGGCCCTTCGTCTACAACCGTGCTCTCTCGGGAAGTAAGTTGACGGCATATTGCGCCAAACCCCTGGGAGGTAAAATATGTCAGTAATGTAGGGAGGATTGGAACAACAGCTTAAACATACCACGATGCCTGAAATCCCACTCCACCCGCGCCATAATTGTGAATGATCAACTTGCCATCCCGCATCTCAGATTCCACGCGTGGCCCACCCTCTCTCGCCGCTGTCTACAATCAGTATGGCTGTTCATATCTTCAAATGCTTTCTTCACCTACGACGAAGTCCAACCCCATGCTTGACAATCTTCAAATCCTCTGGCTTTCCTAGCTCTGGTGCAAGCGAACAGCACCTCCTCTTGATGACCTCGGCAAATGCAAGATCTGTCTCACCACTCCAGTTGTTCTTCTGGCGACACCCACCCAAGATGACTCCACCATTCTCGCCTCTAGGGAAGATATGCGTGGCTTCGCCGGCACGGTGAGGAGCGCGGAAGAACATGTTTTTTAATGGCTTCTCTGGGCCTTCTACCAGCAAGATTTGACCCTGTTTTCATAACGCAGTGAGATTTTGTAAGGTAGGAGAAGGTCAGGGATAGATCTTACCCTAGTTGGGTACATGGTATTGTCTTCTACGCCTCCCAGGGTCATTGCACCTAGGCCAGTGCAGTTGAAAACGGCGGCGGCTTGAGGGTATCGCTTGAACGCGTCGTCGATGGAACCAAAGATACGTCGATGTACTTCAATATTGAGGCGGGTAGCCTCGGTCTGCAACCTGCAATATGGTTATTCTTGGTAATCTGAGGGATCAGAGCTAGTTTCTACCATGGTAGATATCTCTGCACATCGATGACAAAACTCGCCATTTCGTAGCCGAACGCCGTTCCTTTGGGTAATTCGTCTTTCTCAATCTTCCTCAAACCACCCACTAGCTCCTCGAACCAAAGCTTCCCAGTCGCCGGAGTCAAGATACCGGCTTCCTCAACGGGAACCTCGTAGTGCCATTTGATCTGCATGGGCTTGATGCCACATTCTGGTCTGTCTAAGGCAAGGTTCTTGAATTTGCGGTACGTGATTGCTTCGTAATCTTGTTGGGGACCGTTGTCCGTGGCAGCTGGGAACCAGTTTGCGCCGCCCCATGCAGAAGTGTACTCCGGTGCACTGTCACCAGGCAGATACTTCGCTGCGACGACTATTTTGGCTCCGGGATACCGATGTCGAAGTTCCAGGGCGGTTGTGAGACCAACAACTCCAGCTCCGATGACAAGATAGAAGGCTGATCATCCAGTAGAAGGGGATGAATTAATATGTTGCTAGAAGATGGGCATCATGTGGAAGTTGACTTACGCATCTTGGAGGAATTGTTGATTGATGATGATGATAATGATAAATCAAAAAAAGTTGGTAATATGATATGATAAGTTACAGGCCAGGCCGTCTGAGTAAGCTAGCGGGATAGTTAGAACCGGAAGGGCCATTTTTGTTCTTTCCTAGAACGTAGCGCTGCTTATAGTCACGTTTGATGATCAGCCCGTCATCGGCAATCCTTCGGGCTCCACTCATGCATCGGTAAAATTTGAACTGGATCAGCTTCGTCGACGGAAATATTTCCGCCCTCACCAGTAGCTGCCGACAGTGTACCCGAACACACGTGCGTATGTATCGAAAATCCGTCACGTTACAATAGTGCGTCGACCCGCCAGAGACATTGGGCTGGTATGATCTGTGTATGTAGCCTACTAGCTAATTCGATTGACAGGTGTCAATGGATTTCCTGTAGCAAAAAATGCTTCGATATTGTCTAGGTTTACTCGCTCAAAATCCTCCCAGCTACCCTTCGAGCAGACTCCGATATGGGGCAGCAGAGTAACCTTCCAGTTGTCCCTGAGTACGGGATTAACCTCTGGCTCGGAGGCGTGGACGTCAAGTCCTGCTCCAGGAACGCGCCCCGACTCTATAGCCTCTATCAATGCATCCTCGTCAATCATGGCACCCCTTGCAATGTTCACCACACGGAGACCTTCCTTTTTTGCAAGGGCAAACTGCTTGCGCGACAGCAAATGATGAGTTTTCTTTGTATAAGGCGCAGCAAGAACAATGCAGTCGATCTCGGGAATCATGTCCTCAACTGTCGAGTGGTATACAGCCCCGTGCTTTAACGACTGTTCAGCTGCGGGCTTAGGTCTTGGACCTTGATAATGAATCTTCATATCAAACGCGGCTTCACATTTTTGGGCCACGGCCAGACCGATATCTCCTAGCCCCACGATACCCAAAGTCTTGTTGGTAGGATCGACAGCTACCGGGCCCAGCTCTCGACTCTTCATCCAGTCGTATCTTGCGCACCATTGGGCAAAAGACAGGAAGCGGAACGAGTCGATAACAAGAGATAACGTGGTTACGGCAACAGCTTCAGTGCATGCGTTTGGCGTGTTGCAGTACAAGATGCCTCGGGCGCTTAATCCTTCGATATCCGCGGCATCGTATCCGTGTCCGCTGCAAGCGATGAGCTTTAGCGTCTTGGGGAAGTAGGGCACAACGTCAGCAGCAAAGGGGCATTGGTTTGCCAGAGGACCAGCCTTGTGCCAGCCATTGCGCATGATGGCCACGATATTGGCATAAGGGCCGCCCGGCTTCATCCGTTCTTTGAACTCATCAATCGTCGGGCAATCATAGTACAACAGATTGCACTTGTCGGCCAACGCTTGGCGGCGAGCGACGTCAATATCCAGGACGGTCGAATCGATGATGAGCAAATCCGGTCTTCCGCTCATGATGGTTGCGTCTGCCGAATGGCACTTATTTGAGTGAACCAGATGGAAAGGATTTGGTCGAGGACAATGGTAGAACTCGTCAAACGATAGAGTACTATGCACGCCAGCATGGCCAGTGTACAGACGGACATGCTTTTACACAAACGGTCTGGATAACTAATTGATGCGTCGCTTATCAAACACCGCGGACGGGTACGCCGATGCCGATGCCAAGCCCGACTAGGATAGTGATTGGCCGAGGTGAACGCGGAGGGTCACGTGATAGCCAACCATCGAAAGCGGCATCGGAAAGATAGTAAGTGAACGAGATGATTTCCAAAGCCAGTCATCCACGCAACGTAACGGTGCCTGTTGTTCATACATACCAAGTACACCGATCTGACTTCAAGCATGTCTCATCAACAATATGATAGCGTCATCACGAATGGCATTCTCGTACGTACCTACCGTACCGCCCATTGATAACATATGGACCGCTAATGGTTCATGACTGTTCAAGGTGACCGCAAACGAAGTTTTGCCCGCTGGGCTGGATATTGGTATCAAAGATGGCAGTATTGCTGCAATTGGGTACAGTCTTGCAAAGGGGCAAACCGACGCAAGGGTGATTGATGCTGAAGGTGCCTACATCACCCCGGGCGGAATCGACTCACATGCGCACATTCAACAAGACAACATGCCGACCGGCGACACGTGGGAGAGCGCCTCTCGGAGTGCCATTGCAGGCGGAACAACTACCGTTCTCGCTTTCGCTGGCCAAAAACGTCAGGAAACCTCGGTGCTGGATGTCGTGCAGCAGTACCACACCAAGGCAAACGGCCAAGTGTATTGTGACTACGGGTTTCACGTTGTTCTCACGAATCCCACCCAGGAGATTCTCCAGGATCAAATGCCACGATTAGTCAATGAGCAAGGTATCACGTCCGTCAAGTTGTACATGACGTATGAGCCATACAAGCTCGACGATGGCCAATTGCTTGATGTCATGTTGTCTTGCCGAAGACTGGGCATGACTACTATGATACATGCGGAAAACTCAGACATGATTGCCATGGTGATCAAGCGCCTCGAGGCAAAAGGCAATACAGACCCCTTCTTCCATGCAATCGCAAGGCCGCGCCTTGCAGAGGACGAGGCGTCGTACCGAGCCATCTCGCTCGCCGAACTCGTCGACGCACCCATTCTTCTTGTCCATATGTCTTCTGAATCAGCGGTTGAGCATGTTAGGGCAGCCCAAGCGCGGCTCCTGCCAGTGCATGCTGAGACATGCCCTCACTACCTGTTTCTTCTATCCGATGAGATCAAGGAATGTCACGACGGTGATCGTTCTCACGGCACCAAGTTTATCTGTGCACCGCCTCTGCGCCATCACGCTTCGGATCTCGAGGGCTTGTGGCGAGGTCTGGCCAACGGTGCGTTCACTGTTTGGTCTTCAGATCATGCTGCGACAAAATACGACCATTCCCTAGGTAAGAAGGCGGGCATTGTGGACGGTGTCGTTCGCTTTAGTAAGGTGCCAAACGGCTTACCTGGCCTTGAGACAAGGATGGCGCTCCTTTTCAACCAGTCGGAAGGATGCTTATCACCCGAAAAGGCACGCATCACTCTGCCACAGTTTGTGAAGCTCACAGCTAGCAATGCGGCTAAGTTGTATGGGATGGATAACAGAAAGGGGACGTTGATGGTGGGATACGACGCGGATCTGGTCATTTGGTACCCCCCTGGCGACCCAAGGGGCAATGTGACCATCAGCCAGGGGAACCTTCACCACGGCGTTGATTACACACCTTTTGAAGGCCTATCTGTTCAAAACTGGCCTAGGTACACAATTCTCAGAGGTAAGGTAGTGTGGCAACATGATGGTGCGGGCATTGTGGGAGAAAAGGGATTTGGGCAGTTCTTGCGTCGTAACAAGGGAAAGCTGGTTGTGGGCAAGATGGGCCAGCAAGGCAGAGGCATGTTATCTGGGGAACGAGAGCTTTGGCTATAGATCGGATCAATCGGTTTCCACATGAATAGTCGTGGAATTGTGCTTGCCGCTTGTTATGGATATCTGTATGTCTTGTGATATCTTTGCGCTCGAAGTAATTTGCTATCTAGCACTTGACCTATCTATCGATCGGCTGTTGGGATTACAAGCTGTGCCGGGTGCAGCCGGGCTGGACCGATTGATTCGGTCCAGATGATATGGTGTGGGGAAGGAATCGCGGAAGATAGCTAGGTAGTTCACAGGAACACTCGTCATGTCCGTAACTTCTTCTAGTCAACAGCAAGACAAAACAACCCAAAATCAAACCCAAGGCCACACCACAGTCTGCATCGACTAACTTTGCGAAATGGACGCGACTTCCCAAGATTTTCCGTCAGTCTCGGGTACGCAACAAACCCCAATCTCCATCCTCCTCATCAACCCAAACTCTTCTCCTCACATCACCAATGCCTGCCTCCAAAACGTCTCAAGCAAGCTGCCTCCAGGAGTAACCGTCTACGGCTTCACCGCGCCCCCACCAGCCCCAAGCGCTATCGAAGGCCGTGTTGACGGCATTCTCTCCTCGGCCGAGTGCCTGCGCAAAATCGTGCCCATCAAACACCGCTTCGACGCCTTCCTCGTCGCGTGTTTCAGCAACCATCCGCTCATCACGGCCCTACGCGAGGAAGTCGACGCACCCGTGCTCGGCATCATGGAATCGGCCCTCTACGCGTCCCGCATGTGCGGGAACAAGCTCGGCGTCATCACCACCAGCGAGCGCTCCGAGATCTTGCACGCGCAGACCATCTTCGACGCCGGGTTCGCCAACTACTCGGCAGGCTGCGCGGCGTGCAAGATCTCTGTCCTCGATCTGGAAAATAAGCCCAGAGTGGAGGTCTTTGCGAGCGTGACGCGCGCGGCCAAGGAGCTTGTTGAGCAGAGGAAGGCGGATTGTTTGCTACTTGGCTGCGCAGGCATGACGGGCGCGAAAGAGGCCTGTGAAGACGCCGTCGGCACAAAGCAGAGGCAGGTCATGGTCGTGGATGGCGTGGCGGTTGGCGTGCAGTTTCTGATTGGCTTGGTGAGGGAGGGACTGGGGACGGCAAAAGGTGGGGCGTATCGGCCGGCCGAGGCAGGGCGCAAGGCAAGGGGCCAAGCGTGGTATTGAATAGAACCAGCAAACCCTCGGTGAAATGATCGATGGTGGTATCCCGACGGATAACAACGGCGGCTCGATCGATCTGCGGGCGAAGGCTGGTCGAGGCTCTATGATCTTTTCTTGTTGATTTTCTTCTGTCATGACTGTAGCAGCAAAAAGTCTATTCATTAGGTGTCACTTCACAATCTTGCAAAACACTTCAATTGGACGCAGAAAAGCATTTAAGGTCCCATCGAAATGACAAAAACAGCAGTTTATACCGACAAGGCGCCAAAGCCGCGGCCCATCTACAATCAGGCCATCGTTGCCAATGGTTTCGTGTATTGCTCTGGCCAGTTGCCCAAGGACATTAACGGTCAGCTTGTCGGTGGGACTGTACAAGATCGTACCGTAAGACATCTTCCATCTCTTTTCATGCACAGATCTCTCTTACCCGAGCCCAATGCTGACGCTCCCACCCCAGCGTCAATGTATCCGCAACCTCCAAGTCGTCCTAGAAGCCGCCGAATCCTCGCTAGACGATGTCGTCGAAGTCAACGTGTTTCTGTCCGACATGAAGGATTTCGCGCAGATGAACGAGGTTTATGGAGAGTACTGGGGCAAGGTCAAACCATCGAGAACGTATGTTGCTGTCTCATCCGTCTCACATCGGGTCTTGCTGCTGACTTCTGGTGGTTCTGTGCAGATGTGTGGCCGTCAAAACGCTTCCCGAGCATACGGATGTCGAGATCAAATGTGTGGGACTGGTGACAGCCAAGGCCAGATTGTGATGGAATTGATCACGTGCTGAGACAGAACGCAGTAGCATTACTGTAAGAGTCATCGACCTGCCAGACTGTATCATGATATCGTGGCCTATCGGCCTGTGCATTTGTTACTAGTTTCTAGAGTTTCAAATAGAGCTGGACTGTTCTTTTGATGAGTGCGGGTCACTTACGAGAAGATTATCAATGAAGGCTTGGAGCCCCAAGTAGCCACGCTGTCTCTCCGTAGTGCGAGTGACTCTAATTCAATTTGGACGGTGCTCTAGCTCATGAAGCTCATGGAAGAGACCAGACATGAGACTGCTGCGTATTAATACTCCAGATTGCAAAGAATTCAAGAGGCATTGACCCGCATGATGGCGACGTCGCGCGCAGTCAAGAACGTCCCCGATGCCACGCAGACCATATCTAGCCTCATGCGGGACGATAGGGAACCAGTCACTCGGCTTCCGCTCATGATCAAGCAGGGTAGTGACAGCCATGACAGGACTTACAGGGGCAGTCCTCCATTCTTCAACACTCTAATGGGCTTTGGTCTGGGCGTCAACGACACGCGACAAGAATGTTCACCTGCAGACCCAATGGATAACCTTTCTCTAGAGACGTTTCTCGGCATAGCTCAGAACAGCGGCGAGCGAAATCCTAGAACCGTCTGATATTCCGTACTACTCCTAAGCCGATCGGCCCGGGGACCGATGTTGATATCGGCAGGCGCTCGGCTTCCCATCTTCCTTCGAGTATGTATATAATGAGACCTCAGCTCAAGATAAGGGCACAAAGTGACCTGCTGATTGGCCGCTTCAAGCGACTCAGCTGATCGAGCAAGCCCCAGCTCGAGAGTCGTTCACTATTACGGCATCTAGAACGATATTGCACTTATCAGTGGTCCCTATAAACGCTCACGCGGTTCTTTACGAGCTTCTCCGCACCGTTTACCCCCATCTTCGGGACAGAGTGGTGCCCCAGGACGTCGGATAATCACCCCCCATTCTGTGGAGTGCCGAACTCGGAGACAGCATCACCCCTGCATGCTTATCTACAGCCGTGACAAGGGTTTACTTAAGTTTTCTTGGCATCAGGTCTATCAGTTGTTGAATCCACCTTGCCCCTTCTTATTAAATATCACAGGAGCTCGGGCTGTGCTTATGAAATTGTTAGCCAAGGTCTGCGAGAGTTGAGCCTTTGGCCGTGTACCTGTACTGGACGTATTCCAATTGAAGCCCATCATGTCTGCATCCAACTCCCAGACTACAGACGCTGTCACCGACAAGAAGATGAAGGACCATGAAGCCACCCATAATCGCACCACGCCCGTCGAAACGCTGCAAACCGGCGATGTGGAGAATTTGAAGCTCCCTTTCATGGGTCAGGTAGATCGGTTTGGAGCCCACGCGAAGACAGACCCTCGTGAGATTAAACTCGTTAAAAAACTAGATTGGTACATCATGGTACGTCGCAAAATCAGTTGGGGACCAACGGATGTACGGTGCACTGACCCGTGTCGTTAGCCTATACTATGGTTCATGTACACTTTCAACTATCTTGACCGCAATGCCATCGTCAACGCGAGACTCAATAACCTTGAGGCAGACCTCGGCTTGAAGGGAACGCAGTACAATACCTGTGTGTCTATTCTGTTTGTCGGATACATGTAAGTCTGCGCCCCATCCATTCGCCATAATTGTGTGCAAAGCACTGATCAATTGTTAAATCTTAGAGCTGCCCAGGTTCCGTGCAATATGTTGTTGAACAGATTCAGGATCTCACTCGTCATGGCAGGTTTTGGCTTTGCTTGGTCGCTTGTTAGTCTTTTGACGTTCCTGGCATACAATTACAGCAGCATGATGGTGCTTCGCTTCATCCTCGGCGTCGTCGAGGCTCCGGTAGGTTTTGCGCCAGTGTGGGCTTGGGCAACACTATTAACATTCTTTCACTAGTTCTACCCTGGAGCGCTCTATATCATCAGTTTGTTCTATACACGCAAGGAAATCGCGCTCAGACTTGCCATTCTGACCACGGGCAATAACTTCTCCGGCTCGTTCGCAGGACTCATCGCAGCTGGTGTCTTTCAGCTGGACAAGAAGCTCGGATTGGCTGGTTGGCAGTGGTATGCGCGCCCAGTTCTACCTCGACATGGAATCTTTTCATGGCTGATCACATGACAGGCTGTTCATCATTCAGGGTGCTTTTTCTGCCCTAACCGCGCTGATGGCCTTTTGGTTCCTACCCGATGACCCCTTGACCACCAAATGGCTGACCGAGGAGGAGAGACAACTAGCCCACAACCGAATCCACATCGACATCACCGACGTCCAGGAAAGCACCAGTGTCTGGTCCGGTTTGCGAGACGCGGCTACTGACTGGCGGACCTGGGCCATGACGCTCATGTACAATCTGCACGTTTCCTCCCTTGGGTTTCAGAACTTCATCCCCACAGTCATGTTGGGCCTCGGGTACAGCAGGACCGTTACACTGGCTTTGACCTGTCCGCCTTTCCTTCTCGCCGCTATAGTGGGACTGATCATCGCCTGGACGTCCGGGCGCTGGAACGAGCGGACTTGGCATATCGTTGTATGCAAAAGTATTGTAATCATTGGATTCATCATCCCTCTTACTACCAGCAACTTTGCCGCACGCCTTTTCAGCATCTTCCTCTTTGTAGGCTTCAGTTTTGGTATCAACAACATCCTGCTGGGGTGGAGCAGTGCGACGCTTGGCCAGACCAACGAAAAGAAGTCGGTGGCTCTTGCCATTATCAACATGCTGGGTAACATGTCAAATGTTTACACGCCTTACCTGTGGCCAGAGTCGGATTCGCCTCATTACCTGACTGCGTGGTGCGCCAGTATTACTTTCGCGGTGGGGGTGATCGTCGTCGCGCTGTTCATGAAGTACTCTCTCAAGGCTCGAAACAAGAGGATGGGTATGAGCGATGCGGATGTGAGAAATCTCTATGTGTACTAGCGCGTTCGTATCCAAGTGCCTGTTTATTTCAATCAGACTTGGGCGTTGCGGACACATGTGCTTGCAATTTTGATTTCCTCTAGAGTTCGACTCACCACGATTGACTCGCGTGCTAGATGAGTAGTGAAGCTGGAATTGTGAAGTCCTGCTCAATCGCAGACAACTGTCGTTCTGCGCCATGCTGGTCCATAGAGGACAGAGGATTGGGTCTTAAATTTTACAATCGCTGGAGCCACGCTCTTCCCAGGGTGTGTTTCTCATTTGACAGAGATAACGCTATTCGAACAAATACGTTTCCCACCTCTTCCAATGTCACTGCGGAGTCCACAAGTCTCAAAGCTTCGACGATCTTTGGCTCGTATGCAACAACCCCCAGACCAATCGTGGGAGCCGTTCCAGCAAGTATAAGTCTGCGGACAAGATGCGGGTGGTTGAGTGTTACGATCTGAGAAGTAAAGCCGCTCACCGATGTGCCGAAGAGATCATCTGCCCAGATGTTCAGTGCTTCGATGAACACAGCGCAGTTATCGGCCCAAGCCCGAAAATCGGTCGGAATTTGGTCCATAGTGCTACGATGACATGCCAGGACTATCACCACATGCTTCGCCAGCTTGCCGAAATTGCGATATGCATAAGGCGATCCGTTGACGAACAACGTGAGATCACGTGCATCTGAGTAGTCGTACATGGTAGTCTTAGCTGGTTAAGATAGACTCTCTTGGGTGCAGCGGTACAATGAAAAGGACCCTACATCCGTTACGAAAATACCCCGGTCCTATCCTTGGGCACGCCACACACCTTACGTGGCAAATACAGAGCTACCGAGGGCGCTTTCTTATGTGGTTACATGAGTTGCACCAACAATATGGTCCTGTTGTTCGATACGGTCCCAATTACCTTTCAAGCATTGATCTTAAAACATGGAAGGAAGTCTATGGACACGGTGTGCCTCAATGGCAAAAGGATCCTAACTTGCTGGGCTCAGATCCTTTTGGAGAGCCAGTCGGCATAATGAGAGCTGATGACATTTCGCACGCCAGACAACGAAAACTTGTTGCACATGCTTTTAGTGACAAGACTTTAAGAGAGCAGGAAGGCATTGTTAAAGGCTACGTCGCACTTCTCGTGGATAAAATCCGGCAAGATGCAGTAAAGAATAACGGAAAAGTGGATCTAGTCGCCTGGTTCAATTTCGCCACGTTCGACATAATGGCTGACTTAACTTTTGGCGAATCGCTACACCAACTAGCTGGATCCATGTACTCTCCGTGGGTCAAATCGATCTTTAGTTATATTAAAGCCTTTCAGCTTATTGGCCTAACGACACAGTGGCCGCTGCTGACGAAATTGCTCTTATTATTCATCCCTGCTAAACTCATGAAAGAGCGGGCTGATGTGTTCCGCTTCGCTACCGAAAAGGTCGAGGGCCGTCTCAAGAAGAGGAAAGTCAAACGTGCTGACATCTGGAGCTACATACTTCGCTACAATAACAACGAAGAACTCAAAGGCAAAGGCCTCGCACACAACGAAATGCTATCAATGGCAATTCATTCATGACCGCAGGTACCGAGACGACCGCCACCTTACTAAGTGGACTCTTCTATTACCTGCTGTGCGATAAGAAACGGTATGAAAGGCTTGTCAAAGATATCCGAGGAGCGTTCCCTACGTACGAAGACGTGGAAATGTCCCGTTTGGCAGAGCAGAAGTTCCTTCAGGCTTGCATAGATGAAGCACTAAGACTCTATCCACCAGTTGCAACGGGTTCTCCGAGACAGACACCGAAGGGTGGTGCGCGATTCGGGAAAGACTTTGTGCCCGATGGGGTGAGCTTCAATTTGCCTACCCAAACGTTTTCATACTAACGATCATAGACGAAAGTTCAAGTATCTACATACGCGGCCTATCATTCAGCACTTAATTTCAAAAACCCCGACAGCTTTATCCCTGGGCGATGGCTCCCCGAATGCCAAGCAGAATATATTTCAGACAAGAGGGATGTCGTACAACCCTTTTCGTACGGGCCTAGGAATTGTTTAGGCAAAAAGTAAGTCGTAACGACATTTAAATCTAGAAAGTAACTCACAATAGGATTAGTCTTGCTTACCACGAGATGCGATTTATTGCGGCAAGCATACCTTGGCACTATGATGTTGAACTCTGCCCAGAATCAGAAAATTGGCTCGATCACCCAGTGTACTTTTTATGGGATAAGCCGCCACTTGTTGTTAGGCTGAGACCTGTCGAGCGTTGAAAAAGCAGGCGTAGGTGGGCACACTGAGTTTGCCACTCTGCCAAGACCCCATCAACTTTTGACTATCACATGACTATAACACGCGATAGCTCCATAACTACATGTAAGCAGTTGTGGATATAAGAAGTATTGTGTATTGTGTAGTACATGATACTTGTAAGGGGCTGCGCTCCGTGGAGCAATCGCGAGGTATACAAGAGGTTGTATTCGATAGAGAGCTATAGAGTCTACTTGCGTGGTGTTTATTTACTTGTCGGAGAAAGGTTGCACCGAGTGTCTGAGCGCGTCGTCTGAGCGCCGCTCAGGCGTCGCACAGGTGCCGGGTTGTAGAGTAAGACCCGGCGTTTGCTGCTTGACTGAGATTCCATCGAGGAGCTATCCAAAGGGCGTTCAGCCCGTTACAGACAAAGTTGGCTGGCCACTTCTACCCAACCTAGCTAGCGCCGCGCGCAGCCAGCAACTTATTAGCCATATCGCGCACAGCAGCGTAGGTAGGCGCAAATCCACGCTGATCTAGATCAAGCACATGGCTAATAATCACCTCTTCTATCCTAGTAAGCTTCTTTAAGTTGGGCTGGCAATCGCGTCTGGCGCGCTTCCCGGCGCGTCGATCACGTAGTGTTGATTCAGGCACGTTAAAGATTGAAGCTGCGCGCCGGCCTAACCAATATGAGGCGCGGTTTGGAGTCTGAACCGCGAGAAAATCGGCTGAAACAGGCTTAGCGTTAGGGTTGCGTAGACTAATCGGGCCATTTGCACCCCCTAAGACGCGAAATTTACCCCACCCCCAAGACATTACGCTACAATACTATTAAGTACTTAGTTCTCATACAAAAATTTATCGCATATATCGCATTAGTACGTATATAAGTTTTCAAAGCAGTACAGTGATATTTATCTCAGCTTAGGGTTAGGGTAGGGTAGGGTACAGTTAGGGTTACAATGGAGCTCCCCGTCTGGAACACCCGTGCGGCCGCACAACAACAGAACGCAGAAAGCAGTGATAGTAGCGCACCCACATGCAGAAAGCCGCCGGAACTCTCAGTAGAGAACTGCGACGATATTCTCTGCTTTCTAGCTGATTTTGGTGTACTAGTGTGTAAGCAGCACTGCAGCGGCGTAGTAAATCTAGACAAGCATCTGCT